GAAAACAGAGGTAATGTTCTCATTTTGGAGGTGGATATTGGGGAAAAATAGTGTTTCTGCCTGAAAATTCAGAGCTGCTAGATTTGGCAGGTCTTCTGATCCTGGTTATATTTTAGAGTTCTTTAGGATTCCTTGGAGAAACCTTCACTTCTTGGATAAAATGAGTAAGATTCCTTGAAATGCTGCTGATTCTTCATTGTTGAAGGGCACTGATTTGTGGCCACAGGAGAGTCTTGGCTAGCGATATCGACACGTTTTTGCTTACAGATCTTGGATGCAGTGTATTAATACAAGAAAAATGTTAATTACTAGGAATAAAAGGGCTCTAAATCACCTTGGTAAATAAAAGGGTAAAAGTAGCCATCTAACTGCATTGCTATACTTGACAAAATCAGCTCCAACCTGACTGAAATCACATGAAGTGTTGGGCTCTATGTTTAGAAAGATGCTGCAAGGAATTTGCATCCTTTTAGAGCAGTGGTTCTCAACCTTCCTAATGCTGTGACCCTTTAATACAGTTCCTCCTGTTGTGGTGACCCCCAACCATAAAATTATTCCTAAAACCATTGAAAATATGTGTTTTCCGATGGTCTTAGGTGACCCTTGTGAAAGGGTCATTCGACCCCCAAAGTGGTCCCGGCCCACAGGCTGAGAACCACTGTTTTAGAGGGTCGTTGAAGCACTTGGAGGTTTACCTGTATCTTGTGACCCTGATGACACAGATAAACCTCCAAGTGCTTCAACAACCCTCTAAAAGGATGCAAATGACCAGCTGTCTGCAAGGAATATAAATCCTTCCATTCCCCACTTTCCTGTCAGAGCTGAAGAAGCTTCTCGGATGAGAAGCGAAATGTCTTCAAAGAAAAAATAAGAAAGTCCAGTTGCCACCTGAAAAAGCACCTTTGGAATGTAGCAATAGCAATAGCACTTAGACTTACAAGATATACCGCTTTACAGTGCTTTAGAGCCCTCTCTAAGCGATTTACAGAGTGAGCATATTGCCCCCAACAATTTGAGTCCTCATTTTACCCACCTCGGAAGGATGGAAGGCTGAGTCAACCGTGAGCCTGGTGAGATTTGAACTGCCAAATTGCAGGCAGGCAGCAGTCAGCAGAAATAGCCTGCAGTACTCCACTCCAACCACTGCGCTACCACGGCTCATGTACCTCATACCATGGAATGTACCTATTAAGTCCTCCCAGGAGCTGGGATAGGCAGATACGGTTGATTGATTGTGTTAATTAACTAAAGATGATTTTGACTAAAGATGATTTTGTCAATGCCGATGGTATTCAAGTAGTGCTCCAGTTGTTTTGGAATTGCACTAAGTTGCCTATTACTATTGATAATATTTTACAGTCGTTCTATTTCTATTTGCAGGTCTTTGTATTGCGTGTGTGTGTGGGCGGGGGGGGGGGGGGTTGGTTCTTTTTCTTCTATTCTGTTGTCTCCGGGAACTGTCAGGTCCACTATCCAGACTTTTTTGTCTTTCTTATCAACAGTTGTTAATTCTGGGGTGTTATGTGGCAGGTGCCTCTCTGTTTGAATTCTAAAATCTCAGAGCATTATAGCTTCTTCATTTCCTATGACTTTGTCTATCTTGTATTCCCACCACTCCTTGCTTGCAGGCGAATGGTATTTCGTACAGATATTTCAATGCACCATTGTTGCTCTTTTGTCACGCCATTGTTTGTAGTCAGTCTGTGCAATCTTCTGGCAGCAGCTGTTATTATTTGTGAAATATATCAATTATACCAATAATAAAATATACTAGGAATTTTACAATAAAAGAAAGTTCTGTAAACAAAAAGGAACAGGAAAAAGGAACAGAAATAAAGTACAAGTGAATAAGCAAGGGCTTTGCAAATATCATGGAAGTTTTCATTTTCTAGTGTCTCTTTAGTTAATTCTGGGTATCTGAATATATGTTTTTAAACAGTAAAATTGTTTTTAACTTCTAAACAAAGAATGAATACCGGTAATCATGATCAAATAGTATAAAATACTGACTGAGCTTATAAACTATAATAGAAGCTAGGCATATAACTCCATGTTTTTTCTGATTTGGAAATCCTATAAAATTTACATAGCATCTCTAACATTTAGAAATGTTGGTTATGTGTTAAAATGTAGTTTAGGATTATTCCCATTTTGAGTTTAAACTCTGCATCAGATCTAGACATCAAAGCATGCTCCCACAATGTAGTTAGCTATTCTTCCAATGTGGGTGGATCAAATGCCTTTTCCAATAAAAAGCAGATGATATCTTTGCAGCAGTTAGCATGTACAAAGCTATACTTTGAGGGGATATATAGTTTGGCAAACTTTAATTTTAAAAAATTGCATTTGATGTGCAAATTCAACTACTGAACTGATATGCAATTTTCATTTTTAACTTTTGTTTCATTCTGCTAAGAATCATTGCTAGAAACAATTATTATAAGAAAAAGAAGGTGTATTCACCGGAAATACATTCTGGGGATAGGCAAAGCCATAGTACCTTGTTAATTACGTCTTTACAGGAGAAAAGTCAACAAACATGTGATCTGTGTGCCTGAGAAGAAAGACAAAAGGAAATGCCCTTGGTTTAGCAACCATTTAGGTCAGGCCTGTCAAACTGGCGGCCCGCAGACCAGATGCATCACGCACAGGCCATGCCCACCCCGGCTCCAAAAAACGTCATGATACATCACAATATGTCACGTGATGCGATCGAGTTTGAAACCTGTGATTTAGGCAAAGATCTGGCAGAGTAACAAAAAACAGAGTTAATTCTTCACTCTCTATCTATGCTTCATTGCCTCCTGGTGGTTAGTAGGTCATGAGATGTTGAAGGGTTCATACCTCAGGATTTGGACCTTCAAAAAGTCTTTCCTATATAACAACAAGCCAAATAAGCAGTGATTTATTCAGGATTTTGATACCTATTGGCCTGTCTGCATGATATGCTTAAATAGATTAAGGGGAGGGTTAGCTTTTCACATCAACCTGAAAACCTAGTCAGCATTGTTAGAAAATATTGATTTCAATCAAGAAGAACTCTAGATTGTTCATTTAACCTCCACCATTCCATCCTATTCTGTGAACACAACGAAAGGTTTAGAAGTTAACCCTTTCCTATGGTTGGGCACAGAGATGAAAGCATTAGAATGGTTCCTTAAAACGGGGCTTCTGTTTTACTTATATCTGCCTAATGGTTTATTTTATTTTCACACACCCCTGGGATTTGATTTAAATTAGCCAAGGGTAATCACGGAATTCCTAGATTTAGTCAATCCTGTCCCCCCATAAATAATTTTACCTAGGGGGCTAGATATGAACCCATCCATGCAGCTATGATCAGACCCCTGCAAGGATTTGGTTGATGGATTTAGAAAGCCTGATTAAATGTTCTTAATAGTTCGGGTGATAAAACTGTTGCCACTTCTGTTGTTAGGGAAAGTACAATAAATTGATCCAGAATGTCTTCAAAATACAGAATGGTAAGAACAAATTTGCTAAATATGATCCATATCCTTCTGCTAGCTGAAGAGCGGGACTAAAAGAGAAGTCTAAACAGATACAAGAGAACAGAAGCTGCTGGTAGAACATCCAGCGGTACACAAAGTAGTTATGATTGCTGAAAAACTAATATTAGTCAATGAAATGCAATCTGTAAACTGCTGCCCTAAGATATCCAGGAAGGCATGAGCTATTTCCAGTTTTTGAACCCCAGCCATAATAAAAATTAAAAAATGAGAATATATGAAAATAAAGAGTCAGGTTACCAAGCAGGGAAGAAGAATCAAGGATTAAGGTTAAATGTGATTTAGAATCATTGAATCATAGGGCTGGCAGGGACCTTGGAAGTCTTCTAGTCAACCCACTGCCCAAGACAGATGTCCTTATACCATCCTGGACAAATAGTTATCCAGTCTTTTCTTTAAAACCTCCAGCAATGGAGCACCCATGACTCTGGAAGGCAAGCTGTTCCATTGATTAATCTTTCTCATTGTCATGAAATTCCTCCTTAGTTCCAGGTTGGATCTCCCTTGGAGAAGCTTCCACCCATGCTTCTTATCTTCCCCTCAGGTGCTTTGGAGAATACATTGATTCCCTCTTCTCTGTAACAGTCCTTCAAGTATTGGAAGATGGCTGTCATGTCACCCCTAAGCCTTCTTTTCGTTAGGCTAAAACATATGTAGTTCCCTTAGCTGTTCATCATATGATTTAGTCTCAAGATCCCTTATCAACTTTGTTGCTCTTCTCTCTACTTTCTAGGTCCTCCACATTTTTTTTTTATATCATGGTGACCAGAATGGATTCAGTTTTCCAAGTAGTTAGTACAGTGATGCGTGGTCTTACTAGTACTATCACTTCCCATGGTTCCCCCTGCTAACTTGATGCTATCGCTCTGTTGATGCAGTCTAGGAAAGCATTGGCTTTTTGGCAGCTGCAGCACACTGGCTCATACTTAAGTGGTGGTCTATTAGGACCCCTATATACAATGGTGGGATTCAAATTTTTTTACTACCGGTTCTGTGGGCATGGCTTGGTGGGCGTGGCAGGGGAAGGATACTGTAAAATCTCCATTCCCTCCCCACTCCAGGGAAAGGATACTGCCAAATCCCCATTTCCTCCCGATCAGCTGGGACTCGGGAGGCAGAGAACAGATGGGGTGGGGCCAGTCAGAGGTGGTATTTACCGGTTCTCTGAACTACTCAAAATTTCTGCTACCGGTTCTCCAGAACTGGTCAGAACCTGCTGAATACCACCTCTGCCTATATCCCTCTCAGAGGTGCTACTGTTGAGCCAGGTACTGCCTTCCTGTTTTTTTTTTTTTTTATTTTTAAAAAAGGAAGTGTTTAATCTGAGACCCACTTTGACCTCGAGACCCTGACCAAATGACTCACTTATTCCCCATTCATCTGTCTATTTATAGATAAGAAGACAAAGAAAATAATCTGGTTAGTGTTGCCCTTAGAAATCACTTCTTGAAAAAAAAAATGAGTTGGATGAAGTTTTACATTTCCTGAAATGGATTGTATTAAGAAAAGCGTTAGATTCAGAATCCAGAGATAATATGTCGGCTGGGTGGATTGATTTTGTGGCTCCAACAGGAAAAATAATGAACCAAAATGAACTTGCAAGCTCGGAGTTCAATTTGGTACTTCTAAACTCTCCCCAAATTAGGAAAAGATGAATCAGAAACAACATCTGCAGAAGTACGTGGTTTAGATTTTATGTCTCTGTAAAGTCCAGGAAGGAGGAAGGGAAGAGCCATGCTAAAGCATCATCAAGGATTTTGTTGGTGGAGAAAGTTGTATTATCTGTTGCCTGTTAATTCTGTCCTCAAATAATGACATTATGATCTTATTGCTTTTGGGGGGGAAATTGAAAGCAAAAGTAAAGTTGCCTGGTTCCAAATCCTCAGACTTTCTTTCTCTGAGACTGAACAAGTTTAATTGTCTTGTACGATCTTCTTGTGCCTGCAAATACCATTTGGCCATCAAGGCAAGTTGGTTATTAACTAGTCAACCGCTATTTGTGTTTTCCTTTTTTTGATTTAATGAGATAAATGATTTTCATTTTTGATTGGTCATCTGATAAAAAATGTGTAATCGCTGACATGGTCCAAATAGGACTGAGGTTCCTGTGTTGGAAACAAAATGGATAAAATTTTCTGAATAGCAGAACAGTAGTAACAGAAGGAGTATACCCAACCAACAGATTTCACAGGTATTTATTTAAAGGACAAAGAATCAAAGAAAAGAATCTTAAAGGCCACATCGTAAGATAAAGTTTGTTAAAATTCTGAAGCCATGAGAAGATTCAAATGTATAATTTTTATCTTTATCTAATTTCAGTTTCCTTGGAAGGAGTGCAATGAGGAATTGGGTATTTTATAAAATAAGGGCTTATTTACAAATATAAACAAACTTCGCTCAAAAGAATCCACTTTTACATGAAGTCATTAGGGAAAGACATGGCACTGTTTTCTAGTTACGTCCAGAATCCCCAAACTGTGTCTCACTCCTTCCTCCATCTTCTACTTCACAAACTCCAGTTTACATTCTTCTATTTACTCCATGGCCACTCCTAGCTCAGGCAGATGAGTATGGCAATGACAGCCAGACGCACAGAGAGACAATATTTGCTAAATTTGCCCAGACTATTCAAAGGGACTCCAGCAGTAATTCTACCTCCATTAAAACTATGTCTCAGTTTTACAATGTCAAAGACCCCATATTCCACCAGCTGACAACCATAGCCATTATTCTTCCTGCCTCATGGTTCTGAACAGGGCAAATTTGATTCCTTTGCTCCCTGGCCAGAGGCAACAAGAAATTTTCGAAAGTATGAGTGTGGAGGGCAAAAGAAATTCAGCCTTGCTTCGAAGAGTCAGGTTAGTGTCAAGGTTCCAAGTAACAGACCCAAGGCAATCAAGACTCTGAGTTCTCATGGTTCCTCAAAGTATCGATTTATTAGAACTGTCATATTGGCACATCTGGGGAAAACCCAACTCTGAAGGGCCTGAGGTTTTCCCCACCCAAATAAAAACCCAAAGTTCTTGCTCCCATGTCACACGTCCATCACATGGTCCAATCAGGTCACAGTCCCATCTTCAGTGGGCTTTGGTTCACACCTCTCCAACACCTGGTGGAGCATCCTTGGCTCCCACAGGAAAGAATTTTATTTTGGAAGGAGGAGGAGGAGGAGGAGGAGGAGGAGGAGGAGATTCCTACCAACTCTGGCAGAGCAAGCCAATTAATAGATTATATAAACAGAGAGTAAACCCCACTCCCTTCTAGCACTGATGATGTTACTTAGTTGGGTAATGAAACATGCAAGAAAACTACCAAGCCCAGAGAGCTCCAAGAACTCCACAAAACTATCTTTGTAGCATTTCCTCTGTTGATGCTGTACCTAGCAAGCTTTCAGAGCAAGTTCCTATATCATTCTTCCTGTGGTGAATCTGTCACCATCTCTGTTGGCCTCCTTCAAACAAGATTCTGTCAACTAGCTTTGGCATCGTGTGATAGACTGGAGCCAGCTAGATGGCTATATGATTGTTAGTTGAATGTGTTTTTTTGATGATTTTCTGCCATTTTGTAAACTTGCTTTTTTAAAAAAAAACTCTTATTTTTATGTTTCTTAATTTAAATTGATTTTGAATGGGGTTTTTTTAATGTATTCTTTCTGTTTTATTATGTATTCTGCTCAGAGTCACTGCATGAGATGGACAGCTGTGCCAATGTGATAAATAGATAAATGATACCCAAGGTTTTTATTAACAGTTTGACTATTTCAGTGAGGCTACATGCATTTTTTGACACATTAGTAAAAATATGTTTTGAACTCTATGGGAATTAGATGTAGCTCAAATCAAAACAATACCGATGTTGCCACGGAAGGGTGAAGCTATTCATGGGTCTTTCATCCTATGCCATCCAATAATAGTTCCAGAGAAAAATATGGTCAGCTTCCTATTTCGCTTGTTTTCTTCTGCAAGCACTCCTAATTCTCCTCTACTCATTTCCCCTGCTCTTTTTTTTTTTTTCCTTCAAGAATGTCCCTTGGCTGTTTCAGCATTTTCTCCTATCCAGATTCCTACCTGAGTATTTTCAAGGTAGGATATGACAGAAAAATACTGCTGTTCCCCAACCCAGCCCTTCTTCTCTGCAATTGTCCCCTTATTCTGCATTCGTGTTATCTTAGAAATGTGAGTTAGAGAATGAGTTTTGCCAAGATGTCATTCTGCACTATTTTGTATTAGTGAATTGGAGATAATTGCCTGGGCAGTATTATTGGACTCGGCAGTTATTTTTAGATATACCCTTCAGGGAATGGCTGCAGCCCAAGAGAACCTTGTCTGCTGAGCTCAAGGATAGCCATTTTATACATTCTTCTGTTAGCACACAGACAGGTCTATTTAATTTCCAAAGAACCCAAATCTTTGGGGAACCCAGTGCATTTTGATCCCCAAAGATCCTCAGGCAACAGCTATAAATTAATTCAATTAAGTGGTCCAGATTGTTAAACCCATTCCATTAAATTTAAATGTGTGATTCAAACTACTATGCACATTTCGATTCTTCTTAAAGAAAATGCCCTTCTCTTTCAGCATTTCGCAGTAACTGTCTCCCTCTCTGTCTCTCTTGAATTTGTCCTTTTTCTCCCCTGCGTCCTAAAAACAAGCAATCCCTTCCTTTTTGTTATTTAGAAGGTTACACACATTTGGATATCCTGCCCATGTAGGAATGTTCCTGTGGAACAACTCACTCTCTCACCAAACACCCATTCTAAATTCTTTCTCCATACACTTATTTATCTTTGATGCCATCAGCAGTGCTTACTCTTACGCATGCATTAAACATTGTCCATAAATATTGAAAGTATAATAGATTTCGATGGGTGGGGGGGAAGAGATCAACATCACATCTTTGTAAGAAATATTACCCAATAGTAATTTGGAAGAAGGGAAGCTACAGTCCTTCCACAGACCATTTTTAACTGTTAATTGTCTTCTTTCGGTTGCTAGGTAACATTCTCTCCACCTCTGGGGAACCCAAATAGTAGAAGCGTGTGAAATATTTTGTGGTTGAAAGATGCCAACCCAAAACCTTTGATATTGCAGTGGAAGGATTCAAATGTTCAGCCTTATTACAAAGAGTCCAGTCTTGAAATGGGCTGTTAGAACATTTTGGCTACAAAACATTATGCAAAGTTCTGGCGTGTGGTTTGAACATCAGAGTTCCGTTTGGACATTCTATTGAATGCGTCGAGAGTTCAGAATGGAGTAAGAATGGATGAATTCAGCCCAGATCTCCTTCAGATCCCCTGTCTGGATGGTTGAGGGCAGGGATGAAATCCAGCAGGTTCTGACAGATTCTGGAGAACTGGTAGTGGAAATTTTGAGCAGTTTGGAGAACCGGTAAATACCACCTCTGGCTGGCCCCAGAGTGGGGTGGGAATGAAGATTTTGCAATATCCTTCCCCCAGGAATGGGGAGGGAATGGGGATTTTGCAGTATCCTTCCTCTGCCACCAAGCCACGCCTACCAAGCCACACCAACGCCCACCAAGCCACAGCCACAAAACCAGTAGTAAAAAAATTTGGATTTCACCACTGAGTGAGGGTGTAGGTGGGGTTAAGAAACAGGAGAAGAGCAGCATGTCTGACTACATGTCCATTAACCCTTTTTGTGGAACTTAATCTAGAAATAATTTCTTAAAGAGAGATGTTTCCTCGCCTCCATGTCATATCTCCGTGCAAACTTCTCAGTGAGGATTGCATTGCCTTTTGTCTGGGTGAGAATGGGACTAAATCAGTGCGCGCCCCCCCCCAAAAAAAATTCAGTAGATATAATAGAAAGTTAGGGTTCATTTTTTAAAAAAAGGTTAAACTTAACCCATCTTTGGAGGAGAAGTGCTTGAGGCACGTGTTGCGAACTCCATTCTCAGTGTATAAAATATGAAGTTTTATTTTTTAGTAATTTTCCTGTCAATCTGAAATGATCCCGACCTTATAAAGGAAACCGTAACAAGGCTAGCTGAGGGCGGGGAACTCTTTATAGCATTTTCTCAGAAGGGTCAATAAACCCAATCAAGTTATATTATGGTAAAAGCAATATTGGAGAAATATGCTCAATGAGACATATCAAACACACCATGGTTACCTATCTCTGTGCTCATCCATATAGTATCTCTGTGCCCATCCATATTGTGCCCTGTTATACAACACAGGAGCTGGTGGAAACATTTGCCAGCTTAAAAAAGCTGTGTTTCCGCCCTCAATTTTGCCTTGGCAGCAGCGAGTTGAGGCCCTTCTGTCTAGATGAGGAGCAGGGGGAGAAAAGAAGCAGGGAGGCCATTCCTTTGGTATCATTCGTCTTCTGAAGCTAGTCCTTCAATTCCGTGCAGTGATCACTCTTGGGTTCAGAGCAGTGGTGAAATCCAATTTTTTTTTTACTACCGGTTCTGTGGGCATGGCTTGGTGGGCATGGCTTGGTGAGCATGACAAGGAAGGATACTGCAAAATCTCCATTTCCACCCCACTCCAGGGGAAGGATACTCCAAAATCCCCATTCCCTCCCCACTCCAGGGGGAAGGACATTGTAAAATCTCCATTCCCACCCCACTCTGGGGCCAGCCAGAGGTGGTATTTGCCGGTTCTCCGAACTACTCAAAATTTTCGCTACCGGTTCTCCAGAACCTGTCAGAACCTGCTGAATTTCACCTCTGGTTCAGAGGAATGGAAGCAAAGGACCTTTCTCCCCCATTTGTTTCTTCAATGGGTAGGAGAAGCAGTGGGGAGAGGAGAACTGGTTATGCCCTTTCTCAGCTATCGCTCCTCCTGACATGGCTGGTAGGAGATGCAAGAGGGAAAAGGAGAGGAAGCAACTCTTCTGCTGTCAGTTCTCTAACTCAAGAGAAGCTGATCTTCTTTGCTTCTTCCATGCACAGTTCTCTCCTTCCTGCTTCTCCTACCTTTGGTAGGAGCGTTAGAGAACCTGGCCAGTCCTTCTCACCCCCACTTTCCCTGAATAGAAAGAAGAGTCACTTTCCCTAATCCCTTTCCCGCAGGGTAAGGTAAGCGGGGGAGGGACGAAGACGTTCTTCAAGGGAACTATCAGACTTTGTTGCAGAAATTAAATCCAGAAAGCACACACAGATAAACTGATTCAGCAGGATTCATAAATTTCTTTATATACATAATAACAGATGAAGTAAATTTTACAATACCAATAGTTGATTCTTCCAACGTGGTAGAAGTTACAGGCAGGGGAGAAAATTGAGATGAATTTTAGTTCAGAGTTCAGAGCAGACAAGACAAGCTCAGACTTGTTTCAGTTTCAATTCTCAGCACAGACTCAGTTCTGTTTCAGCTCCCATTGGCTGACTTAGTTGCTATGCCTATTCATTGGCTGACCTTGTTACTATATGTTTCCCAGTCATGAATATTCTAACAGGAACTGCTTGACTGTGGGAGTGCTGGCTGAAGGGGGAAAAAAAACATTCCCACCCATCCAAAGCCACAGGGGAACCTTTTACATAAGGGTCCAGCTGTCTTCTGGAAGCCAGATAGATAAGCGTCAACCCCACCACCCATCACATGGACTAACCAGAGATAAATGACTCTACCGCAGGCACTTTATACCATGGGAGGGCCCCTTGCACCCACTTTGATTGTGGGAAGTAGGGAAAGCAACTTTTCAGCCAACATTCCTGGGGGGGGGAGGGATGTGGTATCAAACAAGCTTTCTTCCCCTTCTTCTCTTCCCATTTCCCATGAAAAGCAGGGATTAAAGAGCAGGGATTTCCTCTGCCCGCAGCAGCCTGAAGGGTCTCTTAGGAGCATATCAGCCACCTCCCCCACCTCCCAATTTTATTTCTGCATGATGGACTTGAGCCAGGCTAGAAACTGGAAAATACCACTTGAGAGATGAGGCTGGAAAAGCCAAACCCAGGTTGTCTTCTCAGCAGATGAGGGCTGAACTGAGCATGCCATCATTTGTTTATTCTTCTCTAAACAAACTATTTGCTTAGTTCATCTCCAATCCAGTTAGCAGGTTGTGTAGACGAGCACTTTCACACCTACATGAGAGACTATCAAAACCACATTGGAAAGAGCATCAGATACACAGTGCATTTATGTGAGTGGTATGGGAGAGACTATAATTATTAACTTTGCCTGGATATTTAAAATGGCAAGTCCCATAATCACCTGCTGCAGCCAATGCTGGCTGAGGCTGGTGGGAATTTTAGGTGAACAACATCAGGCCTGCATTGGGGAAGCCTGTTTCATTTGTTCGTTTAAGAGACTTGTATTGCTGCCCATCTTATGAACCATAAATCTAAGTGCTGTATATTACAATGAATGTCAGAAGTCTGAATATCTACAATGGCTGATGGCAACTGCCAAACTTCTTTGTCTCGTTCAGGTAGTTTTTGGCATTTATCCCACTATATATTATTTATTTATTTATTTTGTCAAGCATGTATAAGATAACAGATATAAGTATAAACATGATTATGAATACATGAGATGGATACAAATAAATGGGGACAGTAGGACAGGGACAGTAGGCACGTTGGTGTGCTTATGCACGCCCCTTACAGACCTCTTAGGAATGGGGTGAGGTCAACAGTAGACAGACTAAGGTTAAAGTTGTGGGAGTTTGGGGAAGAAACCACAGAGTCTGGTAGTGCATTCCAGGCATTGACCACTCTGTTGCTGAAGTCGTATTTTCTGCAATCGAGTTTGGAGCGGTTTACCTTGAGTTTGTATCTATTGTGTGCCTATATATATATAAAATTGAAAAGTTTTACAAAAAAACAAACATTTTCTTCCCCCCCATATTCCCCCCACCCTTTCCCTCCCCTCATCCCACCCTCCCCCCCAGACTTCCCAGAGCAAAATACAAGGTGTTTCATTTAACAATCATAAAATAGATTAACCTACTTATCCTCAGAGTACTAACTCCCCCCCTGAAACCTTAACTCCACTATAGATAACATAATACTTCTAATACTTAATGTTCATTCATAAGCTATTTGATATTTTCTTGTCTGATACTTATTTTGAATATAGTCAATCCATCTTCTCCATTCCGATACATATCTTTCTTGTGTATAGTCCTTCAAGTATGCTGAGATTTTCACCATTTCTGCTAGGTTCGTTACTTTCAATATCCACTCTTCAATAGCAGGCAAAGAGTCCTTCTTCCAATATTGTGCTACCAACAGTCTAGCTGCTGATATTAGATTCAAAATCAATTTAGTCTCTGATACTGTACAGTCCATAGTTATACCCAATAGGAATAATTGAGGAGTAAATTTCAACCTTCTTTTCAGAATATTCTGCATCACCCACCAAATTTTTATCCACTTTCTCTGTTCTGGTCATAACATCCCCCATTTTGCTTTCCAAATTTAAATTGGCTTGATTAATTTCTTCAACTTTCTCATCAAGCTGGATAACAAGGTTTGACAATCCTGATACAGCATGAACAATATCCTCTCTTATTTCATCGTGTTTCTCTGCAACCACTTCCTTAATTGAACTTATATCCTCCTCAACTTTCTTTAATTTCCCTTCCACAAGTAATGTTAAGTTATTCATAGCTTCTTTCATTGCTGTTGCTTGATTATTCATGGCTTCTTTCATAAATTCTTTAAAATCATTAAGTGCTGCATCTTGACTCTGACTCTGGCTCTGTGAATCAGCTGGAAGTTGTGCTTTCTGTGTCACCACTGACACAACTGGAGAACCTCCCCCTCCTTTAACAACTCCTGGTTTCACTTGTCTAGAAGCCATTCCCCCCCCCCTCTTTTAAAGAGATCTTTGAAAGCCACAAAGTCTTTTAAAATGTTTGTAATTTATAGTCTCTAATTTATCAGGCAGGATAGTTTTTTTTTCCCCCCACAAGCTCTCACTTCCCAGCAGTTAATAAGCAGTGTGTGCTCATATATTGTTGTGGTTGAAGCTGAAGTAGTCATTGGCAGGTAGGACATTGTAGCAGATAATTTTATGTACTACGCTTAGGTCAGACTGAAGACGGCGTAGTTCTAAGTTGTCTAAGTCCAAGATTTCAAGCCTGGTGGCATAAAGTATTCTATTGCGAGAAGAGGAGTGGAGGACTCTTCCCGTGAAATATCTCTGGACTCGCTCAATTGTAT